TGAAAATCTAGTCTTTGGGGAATCCTTTATTCTTCAAGCATACACAAGTTAAAGCAGGCTAAGTGTTAAGTGAAGTTAAAAGAGACAGCTCATACAAGATTGACTTGATGATACTAGGTCAGAAAAAGGAACCATGACTTTTGCTTAACAGAAATACACTTTATTGATGAGTTTTCTTTGCCTCACTGTGAGCATTACAGTGTCTTTTACTGTCTTCCATTTTAATAGTAGCATCATGCACACAGTTCTGTTGTTAATATTGCAGAGATGGCATATGTTTGTGGGTAAGTAATCTGCCTGTTTACAATGCCATTAGGAAAACGCTGACTCCACCAGTTCACAGGCTCATTTAAACCTTTCTCTGCTTCCGACTTGCTGAGTATTTGGTATTCAACACCATACAAGTGATTTCATGCAGCCTCCCTAACACAGGTTGGTGGGTTGCTAAGGAATATATCTCAAGAGGTTAAGAGCCCGGCAGTCACCTTGATCTCAGTGCCAGTGATTATCTGTGTAATTTTCTGCTTCATGTTTTATACTGCAGCACTGACCAAAGCTTATGTCTGTCCCTTGGCATTGCATAAGCGTGAACAGTTATGGCTGTAGACAGAGAGACGTACTCGTCGCTTTCATGATATAATCTCTTTAATATATTATTACAAATGAAACATCATCATTAAACTTCTTAAAAAAAAAAAAAATTGATTGAAAAAGAAAAAAGCCAAGTGAGATTTGCTGGAGAAACAGAAGACTCTTTTTTTCTCCTAGGTGATCCATTTTGGGTTCTTTTCATTGTCTTTGGTTCATAGCCTTTTCAGTACACATACAAGACAACTGCTTCACAGCCAAGAGGACTATGAGCTGCCTTTATAAAATCCTAGGCCTTTAAGGGTTTCACATGATGTCTTGCGTCGTGAGTTGTAAACTCAGCAGTCACAGTGAAGGACACTTAACCCCAGGAGCTACAGCACGTTGCCGCTGTGTTGCTTTTGCTGCCACAGCTGCAGGCAGCATTTCAGGGAGGGAGAGAGAGACCCAGATCATTGATATAGAGAAGGATCCACATCAACATTTCCCAAAGCTTTAAAACCACCATCCTTTACCTGTCTTATTCTGTAAGTGTCCACACCTACAGATAAGGTCCTACAGTGCCATTCCCCTTCTGTTATTTTAATAGATATCATGGAAGGATAAATGTCTTTCCTCCATGACCAACCCTTGAATTCAGTCAGCTTTCTTCAAGGAGACTGAGTAATGGGAAAGGGAAAAAAAGAATTGAGCCCCTTGCCATGTTGAGAGCTCATTGCAGCCTATCCACCTCTAGCACCTCTGGGTGCTACTCCTACCTTAAGGGTGAAGTAGCTGTTGCCACATCTTTGCCAGTGGTCCCGGGTAAGGAGTCCCTGTACGTGCAGAACTGGCTCTTTCCCATTCCATATGAATGGTACTTCCACACAGATGTGCCTTTTCCCAGTGCAGAGAGATCCCAAATGACCTGTGGGGAAAGTGATTCCCTGCCCACCTCCTGCTGGAGTCCCCAGCACCCATATCATGGGACATGGGACTTAATTAACAGGGATGCCCTTGAATTGTGATGATTTCATTTACAATAAACTCAGACTAGAAATGTAAGCAAATCAACTCCTGTTGGCTTGTCAGTTGTGCTAGCAGGTTGCACAGTTAGAAGCCACAATATGTTTCCATCTCGTATCCCAGCCACAGGGTCAGTAACCTTCTGGCAGAGAGGTGGGTAAGAAGGACAAACTGGATAATGTTTGCTGCAGCTAAAGCCATGTGTATGCCTGTTTCAGAGGCTGACTGTCATGAAGCATACAGAATACCTGCAGTTACCACTTAACTCAGTAGCCATTGAACTAAACCATGTGAAAATGCAAAGCACCTTATCTTTAAGGTTAGAGGCAACATCTGTAGCAGAGTTGTTTAGGTATCTTCAGCTGTAAAACAGTATATGAAAACTGCTGGGATTTCTCTGAGTGAAAATTAAAGACATAATAACAGTATCAGATGCTTCTGAAGCAATGAAATATTTTTAAAAGGTAATATAAGCAGCACATAAAAATTTACCAGACTTCATAGATTACACTGCCATGTGATAACCGGACTCCAAAATGTACTTCTACGTTTTCTTGCTCTGGTCCCACAGATAAGCATTAGACCATGTGGGTTTAAACTGTCATTTGCAAAACTGAAGGAACATAAAGAACCGAGTTCAGTTTCAAGACAGAAGTTACCTGAACAGGGAACAGAGCAAAAGAATGTAATTCTTAGGGGCTGACTGATGTTCAAAACTGCTTCTCTCAAAAGAGAATTATTATCCAAGGTGTTACACTAAATTAGAAAACAAACAAAAAAAAAAAATTGTAAACCGTATTTTTCAACAATATAAAAATATTCTACATGAGGAATGCTGTGTGACAGGATCTCCTCAGTGGTACAGCGACAGAGTGAGAGCAGAAGGAAGGAGAGAAACAATTGGCTGCCACACCAGAAATCCTTTCCTGCATTTTCCCTACCCAAAACCTCCACTGCCTGCAACTGCCCTCATCTGAGGAACTTGTGAGCCTCTCCCAACCACTCAGCCCTCTCTCAAGCCTACTGACATTTTCCCCTAGCACACTCAGATCTCTGCCTGAGACGTCTCTCCCTCCTGTGCCCCGTCAGTGCCACCATTACCAGGGATGGCTTTGAGTCGTCTCTGTCATGGCATTTGTATATGAAAAGTAAGTTCCACACTCTGAAAGCCCAGTGAAGGGCCAGGAGTCCTTATTGTGTCCTATGGGCCAGAGTTGAGTTGTCACAGAAAAATATAGCTGCCTTTCAGCCTTAACTCTAGCTGGTGCAAAGTGAATTATTCTTCATTGGCTTCATGGTCTTTAACCTTGAAAAACTGAATTTATCTGGTCTTTATGCAAATTAAATTAATGTCACTGCAGGTGAAAGGTTTCATGTGACAGGCCTTTTAAATTTAATCTTTTTTCTTCAAATTGTCTGTTATCTTCTACTTAAGCACAAATTGAATATTAAGTATGGGCTTATTGCAGCTATTAATCATTCGGCTAAATAAAACCACTAGCAAACTGTGAATAGCTATAAATAAAATAATAGGTCTACTACCTGCTACCTCTTAGTTCCATGTAGACTGGCTATCGAGTGAAAGATTGAATGAGAGCTGTCACATAGTTCAGGGAAAATTTTGCTAGTTTTTTGTTAAGGTAAGATACAGAAACATGATCACTATACAAGGTCTAACTATTATTACTTGATGTTATTTTGCTTCCTCTGGCACACACAGCTTACCTGTTGCTGGGTTCTAGTCTCCCAGGGCTGTTTTATTTAATGAGTGTTTCATATAAAATGCATATAGGGCTTTCTTTTCTCAAATAAATTACCAACAGGACTACAGTTGCCCTTCTCACCCATGAGTCTCGTGATCTTCACTTGCTGGTCCAGTATTATGTGGGCAGACAGTACAACTTATCCTGTCACTAGAGGTTTAGGCACTTGCATCCAAGGCAGATGTGGCAGAGGTGGAAATTGTTCCCCAACCTCCTGCTTCTTTGACAGATGTTTTTGCCAGTTGCAGACAAGGGAAATTGCAAACTCTCAAAATCAAAACACTGGGATGAAATGATTGCTGAGGTAATTTAAGCCTGCCAACTCTGTTTTGTCCCCCTTTTAAGTGGTCAACCTCTGAGATTTAGCAAAGGGAAGAAAAGGGGAAAGAGGCATTATGTGATGAGGAAAAACAAACCCAAAGAACTCCAGAATTCTTGACCTGTTCTTCAAATTATGTACTAAAAAAAAAGAAGACATTTTGCTCAATGTTCAAGAGCAGAAATTATCCAGAAGTCCATTCCCTGTGAAGACAAGCTTTATTAATATGTAGCTACCATCACTCATCTCCTTTCATTTTCTACAAATGTTTTCTTCTGTGCTTTGTACTTTCTAACTCTCTCCTTTCTACCTTTCTGCTTTCTTATTTAAATATTCTCCTTTTTTGTGATACTTTCTTCATGCCTCTCATCCTTTACTATTTATAATTGTCCTTCTTAGGCAAGTGAAAATCTTCAGGTTTGTGTTACTAGTCCTTCATCAGGTGGAGCACAAGTCCTTTGTGACTTTTCCATGAAGATCATTTATTAGCTCTTTAGTTTTATTTTTTTTTTTTGATGTGTGAGATAGATAGACTTCATTGATATTTCTTCACCATAAAGGTAGAAAGTTGCTAATGGAATGCAAAACTAGGAAGATCAATCTAGGATTGACTTTGCAATCGACAGCTAAAAACCAGCTTTCCCCTGGACCTTTGCAATTTCTTACCTATATTCGTTTCCCTTGATGGTGCCTTTCTTTTCCCAGGCTGCTGTGTATATTCCCTTCTGAACCTGAGAGGAAAGGCATCTCTGTAACATTATTGCTTGCATCATTCATTTTCCTAACTGTTTTCCTTTTTGCTTTATAATGAAAGCTTTGGCACACTCAAGGACCAACAGTCCAACCCTTTTCACGTTTCTCATAAATCAAATTCATTGTCTTATCTCTGCTTACCTACTCACTCATTTACCAATCTTTCATGTATTTAACAGTCTTCCTATTTCACTGATTATGCTATGTTAGGCCAGCAAAGAAGAGGGGTTCAGTATTAGAGTGCTCACTTCATTTGATCACTCAGAGAATTACACTATAATGATCCTCTAATTACAGAACTGCCATGCTGTGTTAAATCCTTTCTATATGTGCTGTCAACTGTTTACACTGTTCTGCACGCTCCAGACTTCACATTTCCAAATATACTACAGTGATAGCTGACAACAGCATTAACAAACATAATGTACAGTGTGTGGTTAAGGAAAAGAAGTGGAAGGACTTTGAAAAAGGGCTTGGAATGTGAGATTAAGCCAATATTACCACAAATGTTTTAATCAATGTGTATTTTTCTACAAACCAGTTCATTCCTGTTTTTCTGTGTTTTTCCACAGTGGTTATGTCTTTGATTATGATTACTACAGAGATGATTTCTACAATCGGTATGTGTGGTTATATTTTTGTATATCCTACACCATTTCTACTGTTTGTTTATAATGTAATCACATCATTTGGTTAGACACGTCTGTTCTGATTTTACATATTATTCATTTAATTATTTCTATTGTATATCAGAAGAAGACTGTTTGAATATATCACAAACAGAGAAGATTACCACCACCAAATGTATGCTCATTAAACC